GGGTGAAGTTTAAGCCCCTGGGTCCGGGACTCGAACCCCGATCGACTACGTGGGAGTCCAGCGACATAGCCATTACGCTAACTGCTGGTTCCCTAAGGTCCTGTTTTTATGAAACATCCAGAAAATCAAGTCTACAGGGACAAAAAGAATATTAGACATTGGTGTTGGCTCTGAGTACAAATGAGTATGAGGGATTTTTTCCTCTGGAGTGATGCAAATACCCTACAATGGACAGTGGTGGTGATACCAGCACAATTACACGTTTACTGATAATCACTGAATTACACACCAGAAAGAATGTGCTCTATTGTATGCACATTATCCCTCAAGGAAGTTGTTAAAGAAAACCTAATGCTGAGTAAATAACGACTGGGCAGAGTGCTATCTTCAGTATGGCGGGATTCATATCAACGGAAAGCTCTGTAAGTATACACAGCTGTGTAGGTATGACATGCAGCGTACAACACTAACACGTGGACGAGATACACATCAAATCGAATATACTGGCTGCATCTGGGGAGGGAGACAGGCTAGGTCTGAGGAGAACATAGAGGACTTCATCTGTAATGTTTCAAACGAAAATGAGCACATGACAAGATGTTAACGTTTGTCCATTTTGGGTGGTAGGTGAGTTTTTCCTGAATGATTTTTTGTCCTTTCCCATATTTTTTCCATAAAAAAAACCCAAACTAAGTTAAACCAAAAAGCAAACAGAAATGGTTACCTAGTTCCTTCATTAATTTAAATTCCTTTATGGCTTTAATTCGAATATCAGACACCACCTAAAATAGAGAAATAAACTAATGACTGTGTATAAATTGAAAACAATGGGAAGAGACGAAAATGAAGATTGTCAAGGTGCACACGCAGCTTATTCGAGATTAGTTACCTGACGTTTGGCAGTTTTTGACTACTTAATGTGTTTTCCATCCTTGGACTGTCCCCACAAGGTAAAAAGCAAGCACAGAATCCATCTTCATAGTGACGTGTTTACAAACTGGTGTTAATCGGGGCAGAGGAGCTACTAGAGAAAACTAGGGAGAGCTTTCCAGCTGGGAAAGCATGAGCTGATAAAGCCCTGACCTTATGTGAGGGCGAGCGAAAGAAACGGCAGGCGGCCGCACTGAGGACTCTGCATTTGGACCAGCAGCATAAATGGTCTGAAGCGCATTGTCTAAAAATTCAATTACTTTATTGTTTCCGTTCTTTAGTTTAAGCTAGTTTCCTCTGGGGCATAAAATCTTTGAAATTTAAGGGTAAACTGATGTCAGAAATCATCTACTCCAACCTACCAAGTACCCTACCCTGAGCCAGAGACAAGGAATGACCTAATGAAGAATTTCACCAAGGTCTCTCACTTAGGGCCAGGGTACTGGGTCTCCCAAACTTTAACATGTTAATCTTAATGTCCCCTCTGTTGTAGCCACTAATATTAATATATCTTAAGAAATTATAATATTTATATGAAAACTCCAATCATCAGGTAAGTTTCTTTTAACTTGTTATAGAATAAAAAAACTTAATCTAGAACTACAGTGAAAATAAAAAGATGTTTCCTGAGATAATGTTTAAGGAAGCCAGTATCACAGACTTCAAATGGAAAATTGAAGGAACCTCTTTTTAAAGCAGTTGGCTATCTATAAAAATGTATATATTGGGGCCAGCAGGCAGTATAGTGCTTAAGGCGCTGGACTATCACGTAGTTAACTGGGGTTAGAGTCCCAGATCTTGCCCATCTTGCCCAGCTTGAAACTCACATTGGGCACATGTTCCTGAGTGCCCAAAATCCTGAGAGGAGAATGGAGGAAAAGGGATTACGGCATGGCCAGCCCCTCTGGGGTGGGGAGGTGGTTTCTCACTTTCTTTCTCTCTTTCTGGTGAGCACATGTGCCCTATAACAAAAATATCTCTTTAATGATTGGGGAAAACATAGAAAAGATATCGAATGTTGAAGCGGGGAGATTAATGTCTTTGTACTGACTGACATGCATGGCATTCCCTTTTGAAAAAGCAATGTAATACACTGTAAAGTTATATGTAATCCAATGTAATATACCGGTGTGAGTTTAAGCCACTGGGTCCGGGACTCGAACCACGATCGACTACGTGGGAGTCCAGCGACATAGCCATTACGCTAACTGCTGGTTCCCTAAGGTCCTGTTTTTATGAAACATCCAGAAAATCAAGTCTACAGGGACAAAAAGAATATTAGACATTGGTGTTGGCTCTGAGTACAAATGAGTATGAGGGATTTTTTCCTCTGGAGTGATGCAAATACCCTACAATGGACAGTGGTGGTGATACCAGCACAATTACACGTTTACTGATAATCACTGAATTACACACCAGAAAGAATGTGCTCTATGGTATGCACATTATACCTCAAGGAAGTTGTTAAAGAAAACCTAATGCTGAGTAAATAACGACTGGGCAGAATGCTATCTTCAGTATGGCGGGATTCATATCAACGTAAAGCTCTGTAAGTATACACAGCTGTGTAGGTATGACATGCAGCGTACAACACTAACACGTGGACGAGATACACATCAAATCGAATATACTGGCTGCATCTGGGGAGGGAGACAGGCTAGGTCTGAGGAGAACATAGAGGACTTCATCTGTAATGTTTCAAACGAAAATGAGCACATGACAAGATGTTAACGTTTGTCCATTTTGGGTGGTAGGTGAGTTTTTCCTGAATGATTTTTTGTCCTTTCCCATATTTTTTCCATAAAAAAAACCCAAACTAAGTTAAACCAAAAAGCAAACAGAAATGGTTACCTAGTTCCTTCATTAATTTAAATTCCTTTATGGCTTTAATTCGAATATCAGACACCACCTAAAATAGAGAAATAAACTAATGACTGTGTATAAATTGAAAACAATGGGAAGAGACGAAAATGAAGATTGTCAAGGTGCACACGCAGCTTATTCGAGATTAGTTACCTGACGTTTGGCAGTTTTTGACTACTTAATGTGTTTTCCATCCTTGGACTGTCCCCACAAGGTAAAAAGCAAGCACAGAATCCATCTTCATAGTGACGTGTTTACAAACTGGTGTTAATCGGGGCAGAGGAGCTACTAGAGAAAACTAGGGAGAGCTTTCCAGCTGGGAAAGCATGAGCTGATAAAGCCCTGACCTTATGTGAGGGCGAGCGAAAGAAACGGCAGGCGGCCGCACTGAGGACTCTGCATTTGGACCAGCAGCATAAATGGTCTGAAGCGCATTGTCTAAAAATTCAATTACTTTATTGTTTCCGTTCTTTAGTTTAAGCTAGTTTCCTCTGGGGCATAAAATCTTTGAAATTTAAGGGTAAACTGATGTCAGAAATCATCTACTCCAACCTACCAAGTACCCTACCCTGAGCCAGAGACAAGGAATGACCTAATGAAGAATTTCACCAAGGTCTCTCACTTAGGGCCAGGGTACTGGGTCTCCCAAACTTTAACATGTTAATCTTAATGTCCCCTCTGTTGTAGCCACTAATATTAATATATCTTAAGAAATTATAATATTTATATGAAAACTCCAATCATCAGGTAAGTTTCTTTTAACTTGTTATAGAATAAAAAAACTTAATCTAGAACTACAGTGAAAATAAAAAGATGTTTCCTGAGATAATGTTTAAGGAAGCCAGTATCACAGACTTCAAATGGAAAATTGAAGGAACCTCTTTTTAAAGCAGTTGGCTTTGGGGCCAGCAGGTGGCATAGGGGTTAAGGTGCTGGCCTCCCACATGGGCAACCACCTGTTTACGACCTGGACCTGGTGGCTTGCTTTCTCACTTTCCCTTTTTCCCTCTCTGGTCAAATTGAAAAATAATAAACAAATAAAATAAAACAAATAATTATTTTTAAAAAATTAGAGTAGTAGGTTTTATATAGAATACAGAGTACAATGGAGAACAATTTAAGATAAACTAAAAAACAAAACAAAAACAAAGCCCCAACACAAAAACAAAACATACATACACCTGGTTTAAAAAGTACACAGAAGGGCCAGCAGGTAGCGTGGTGGTCAAGGTGCTGGACACTCCCACATGGCCGACCACAGTTCGAGTTATGGACCTGGTGGCTTGCTTTCTCACTTTCCTTCTCTCTGTGTGTCTGTCTTTCTCTGGTCAAATTAAAATAAATGAATACATAATTCTTTAAAAAAAGAAAAAAGAAAAGTACACAAAAGACCCTTGAAAACAGCATTTTATTTTGTCAAGCCAGAGGGGTCCCGGAGCTACCTAAATAGATAACTCACACATTCTAATTCTAAAGCCTCAGGGTTAAAAAATATATAGGTAAACACATAATAAGCAAATATTAAAAAGTCAATTTTGTAAGATTTAGGAGTCTACTGAGAGAACTGAAAGCCTGAAAGATTAAAGTATTGCTTTCTAAATAAAATCTGGTTAACTGAAAACCTGTCAGTCCAGCTCCGAAGGTCAGCTACTCACCGTGTTAGCAGTTGCTGGTATTTTAACTTGCTCCTCTTCAGAGTCGAGCTGGCATAAATTTTTAACTTCGAGGCAGTCAATCTCGTTCATCCTATTGATCCATTTCTCTTGCTTGGGCAACAAACTGTAGGTAAAAAGGTATTTTTAAAAATATGTCTTTAGGGCTGGCTCTGCAGGCTACTCATTAGGGGAACTGGACCCAACATAGCTGACTGCAGTATGAGTACTGGCCCCGTAGCCTGAAAAACACACACAGGGTGCATATACATGTGTGCCCAAATCCCACAGGTTGGAAGAGAAGGGACTGTGGCACGACCATGTCACACTGGGCATGGGGGGGTGCTCTCCCTCTCTCTCTCTGGAACTCTCTCTCTGGCAAGTATACACGTCCTCTGGCAATTAAAAAAACAAAACAAAACAAAACAAAAAAAACCAAAAAAAACACATAGTTTTAAATGTCACTTTTTTTCTTAGTTTGCATAAGGCACATATGTGCTCTTTCTGGAGAAAGAGAGAAAGTGAGAAAGCCCACCTCAGGGTGGAGGGTCACACTGCAACCTGTTCTCCTCCATTCTCCTGTGGGATTTTGTGCATCCATGCACATGTGCCCAGTATGATTTTCTTTTTCTTCCTTTTTCTTTTTCCCTAACCAACTGAGTTTTATTTGTTGGATAAATCACCTAACATCTTTCAGGTGAAAAAATACTAAATTTGAATAAAGATACTACAAAATGAATTAGAGTCCAATATAAAAATTAGCTTTGGGGAGGCAACACAATTCTACTCAATTAAGGCAAACATTTTTATAGACCATAGATTAGTTTGTTTGTTTATATTTTGAGAGTTTTTGCTATAGGGCGTGTGCTCGCCAGAAAGACAGAGAGAGACAGAGAGACACAAAGCGAGAAGTCACCCACCCCCCAAATGTTCCCAGACTTAGATGCAAGTTGTTGCTCCATACAGGGAGCTGCTGTAATGAGTGGTCAGTGGCTGACTCCCACCTGCAGGCTGCCTCACTGGGGAGCTGTGGATGAGGACCTACACCGGAGCCCCTGCAGGACCTGGGTTCGGGTACACAGAGCAGCCACAGAACTCCAGGGCCACATCCAAGGGGTGTCCTGAGCACTGTACCCACCGCACATTTGTATTTCATTAGAGAGTTTGCTTTATGCTAGTGGCGGGAGTAGAGTATCTTGCGCAGAATTTTCCTACAGACAGTAGTAAAGGGTCTGGAGGGAGGGGTGACTTTTTTCTACTTCACATAGAGGCATTAATGAACTAGCAGAAGTTTTCTTTGGGAGTCTTTTTTTTGGAGAGGTTTTTGCTATAGGGCGCATGCGCTCACCAGAAAGACAGAGAGACAGAAATCGCCCCCCAGGGGGGATGGCCATGTCACAATCCCTTTTCCATTCTCCTCTCGGGATCTTGGGCACACACACACACACACACACACACACACACACTCGCCCAGCGTGAATTTAAACCACCGGGTCTGGGACTTGAACCGTGATCAACTACATGGGAGTCCAGCAAAACGGCTGTTATGCCAACTGCTGGTCCCTCTTTGGGAGCTTCTATGAGAGTTCTAAGGCAGAATTCTACTCTCTTTATTCCTTCCACTCAGTCACACCACAGCCCACTTCCTCCCGTCCTCCAGCTTGCCAGGATCCTGGGCATGTGCTTGTGTGCCCTGCATGTTTCAGGCCAACGAGGCAGGGACTTGAACCCAGTCACACATGGCTTCTAGGTCTGGGATCTGGTAAACGGCCAACTGCAAGCAGCAACTGGGTGTAGAAATTCTACTCTACTTCAGTTATTGTTGCACTCTGAGACTCCCCCTCATGCTAGCAAGGCTAGAGATAACAAAATTTTAAGCATAAGGTGTACCCTGAAAACTTCCTCAGAACAATGGAAAACCGGATGATGATGACAACATGATGGACATTAGCTAAAACATTTACTGCCTATGTGCAAGCCCTCTGTAAGTACTTAACTTTTTCTTTTCTTAAAGATTTATTTACTTAATTTTATTTATTATCATTATTTTTTAACCAGAGAGAGACAGAGAGAGAGAGGGACAAAGTGAGAAAGCGAAGCAAGCAAGCTGCCAGTTCCGGGACTTGAACCACAGTTGTCCATGTGGGGGTCCAGGACTCTAATCACTATGCCACCTGCTGGCCCCAGGTATTTAACTTTTTCGATCTCCAGAACTCTATGAAGCTAGTACCAATTATTATCCCCACTTTACAGTTGAAGAGACTGAGCAGAGAGAGATGAAATAACTTGCCCATGGCACAAGGTACATGGAAGGCTTGAATGGACCCGGGCCGCTGGCTCCAGGGTCCCCCTCCTCCACTGTGTTGTACTGCCTCACGCAGGTGCAGGGTTAGGCAAACTGTCAGGTCCACGTATAGGTACCACGCAGCCACACGAAGGGCTACAAACAGGGGTGAGAGCAGGGTCCAGCAGCAACACGGAGATGCTGCTTGGGTCTCTGTCTCCACTTCTGCATTTCTCAAGTCGTAACAAGTGATACTGCTGTTTACAGGGGTTACACAACTGGCCTTCTTAGTAACAAGGGGGGAAATGCATGTCTGGAAAACACCAAAGAGCCATCGTGGTAAACACAGTACAAAATAAACAGTCCCCAGAGCTCCGCTGTAACACGCAGAGATCCTGCAGCCGGCAATAGGTGCACAGGACTGGCGAAGCTGGGAGCCTAGCGTCTTCGGTGTGTGGAATCCAGTATGTACAGCTACAGTAGACGTGCTGACTGCAGACACAGACAGCCCAAGGGATGCAGAGCAGTGGGCTGCAGCGTCAAAAGTGACTGCAGGAGAGCAGGATGCAATTTCCCAAGTAACTGCCCTCCTTGGGCAGCTAGAAAGCTCCCAAGAGAAAAGATTATGAGGAAAACCTGAATTGCCCAATAGGACTGCTGTAACAAAACAGCGAAACAAAATTTAACCATGATCATAATATGCCCCCATAAACAATCCAGGAGTTTTCTTTGGGAGAATGTGCATTTAGTTTTATAACTGGTGCTGATCAGAATTCATTTGATAGGATTTTGCTTTATAGCCAACTAATTTAGACTGTATCTATCTACATCTGTTTTATCTAACGATAAAACCAGGGACAGACAGCTACATTACCTTGTCACTATATATACTGAAAAATCACTACAACCATCTTCCTCGAAGTGGCATACCCTCAAACACCCCTACATATGATACTTAGAACGCAACGTCTGGGAATACAGAAACCTTGAACTCTTACCCCCAAAATGAAGTGCTAGCATTCTCCTGATGGTACTTGACTGAGAGAACTTCTAGAGACTCTCCCATCTCTCTGGAGTGACTTACCTGCTCTCGTCAGCAGCAGCATCCCGAACTAAGAGGGAGCTCCCATCTCGGAGCCCCTGTTGTCTGAAAGTCTTCTTCAGGTCTTCTCTGGGAACAGCGGTCCAGCCCTCCTGCCCTGTGGGCTCAGCGTCGCTGATGAAGATGGTGCCTGCTGGGATGGCCAAGGCCGTGAACACGGTGCCCAGTTCCGCGTTCGACGGGAAGACGTGTGGAGATTCTGTCAGCTGCTGACACTTCTCCCCGGCCGTGCCTGTTTCCAGGTGAAGCACGTTTAAAAGCAGAGGTTCGCAGTCAACACCGGTCTGGATCTGGACTCCGCCCACCTGCAGGAACATGGAGACCACTGTTAGTAAAGTTTCTATCTGTCTGAATTAAGTCAACAAAGTAACAGAAAACGACTACTCTTCAAACCACCCTCATTCTGTCCAAGTAAAATAAAGATTTCACAAATGTCTTTTAAGTTATCAAAACAACTTTGAAACTTTTATTCCTCTTTTATTTTTTAGGAGGGAAATCTGGACAGGAGCAGAGAGAATTCGGATTATCAGTGGAGGTGCAGAAGCCCAGGCGATGCATGAGCTGAGCCAATGAGAATCCAGAGTGGCTGAGGTGGTCCTCGCCCCACTCCTGAGAGGATTCACCATCCTCCTCCAAGCCCCTCCAGCCCCGCACTCAGCTCAGCCATCACCTCCTACTACAGCGTAGACTGGGCAGTTATTTACACGATGGAGGTCTGCAGGGCACAGCCTGGCATCAGCCACATGCACAACTCACACTGACGGCACCTGAAGCCGACTGGACGCGCCAGCGTATTCTAACACCTAACTGCCTCCACAGATGCTCAATATGTTTTCTTTACAAAGACTTTTTAAAAATTCAAAATTATCACGACTATTTCCTTAGTAATGTTTTACCTCCACCCCGTTCCATACAAAGATGTCTTCCCCATCAGCAATTTCAATTTCACACAGAGTCAGTTCATCTCCTAGAAAGATGAGGTTATCGGTGAGATCACTCATTGTAACCATCAAAACAAGTTAGCTAAAGACAGACTTGAGACACTTAAATATTTAGTTGAGAAGGCATTCTTCTTTTTTAAAGTTTTTGCTATAGGGCATGTGCACTCACTGGAGAGAGAGAGAAACAGAGGGCAAGGGAGAGTCACCACTCCCCAGGGGAATGGCCACACAGTCCGTCAGGATTCTGAGTACATACACACACATGCTTGGCGTGTTTTTCAAGCTGCCAGGTCTAGAACTTGAACGGCCCAGTAGGCCATGTAGCATTCTGCCACCTTAACTACTATACCATCAGCTGGCCTGAGAAAGCACTTTTATTAAGAAAAATTAATAAAAAAGGCAGTAACTATTTTTATCATATTAATATGATCATATACTGCTTTCGTTTTTAATTTAAAATGCTGCATGTAAGCCGGGAGCATGGCAGTGCGGCCCAAGAGTCACACAGAGCACAGGAGGTTCAGGCCGCCGTGCACAGGAGCTGGCGGGCACCACAGGGCCCTGGTTCTGCCGCTGATTAGCCTCTGTCCTCGTACTTGAGCTTTGGCTGCCCAGTTTATGAAACAGAGATGAAAGAATTTTGTGAAAATCAAATGATACTTATCATAGCATCTGACGTAGTGAAGCTCGAAATAAATGTCACAACTCTCATTATCACTGTGTTGTTAATATTTAAAGAAAAAAATACTTCTATACTTGCCCCGACCTGCAGGACAGTCAAACAGGTTTCCTGAGGGAAGGAGTGAGACAGGGTGAACAGCACGGAGACGACACAGTGTTAGAACTCTTCAGGACCGTCCGTTCATTATGGGCCAAGGATCGTGGTTATATACATGTTGGTGGGCCATGATTGGTTGCCTTATATGATAATGAAGGATTGTAGATTGACCAATCATAAGGTGCTGAATATGCAAATCTGAGGGATTCTAGGCTCACCAATTGGTGAGTGCCATGGGTTTGTTGCCAATCAGAGTGTGGTTTTGAAGGGGAGCCAATTGTGGCTTTTGGTGTTGTATGATTGTTTGCTCACTGAGAAATCAAAACCTAAAGGTTTCCTTAAAATGGCAATAGTATAAGACTCATAAAATGGCCTCAGCAGACTCGCTGATGTGCAGTTTCCCACATAAACTCTCAAATAATTCTGCTCAACAATTTGTGGTCATATAAAAAACATTCTAAAGCCTTTAAAACTGTTTCTCGTGGACAAGTTGCCATAATTGCAGAGAATATAAAATATTTCCATGACAGAAAATGTCGCACATCATATAAATTTGATAAATTTTAAGTGATATAAATTCTTTCTTTTTTAAAAGTTTTTCTGAGATGCATGATAGAGAGCAAGGGCAGCACACATGGGGGTGCCCTTCGCAGGGCCTAGCGGGCCGGGACCAATCCTAGCACCGCAGGTCAGTATGCAGTGAGGGTGGGCTGGAATCAACGATTACTGTTAAATTCACTTGTCTATGATAGAGCGTGTGCACACGAGAGAGAGACAGAGCGAGGAAAGCACCTTCCACAGGGTTGGGCCACACTGCAATCCTAGCCCTCCAATCTTCCAGCCTGCCAGGATTCTGGGTACCTGGGCATGCATTTGGTATGTTTTCAGTTCTACTGGACCATGGGCAGCCTGTGGCTTCCACTCTGCAGTCTGGCATGCTACCAGCTGCACCACAGAGGCTGGGCCAAATTATTTCTTTTGGAAAACCAACAAAGTGATGACAATCTATGTAGTTAAGAAAGCAGTAGTGGCAGGAGGGCTGACAAAGAGTAGAAAATGGCAAAAATATAAATATACAAAACAAGCTGTGTTTTCATATGTATCTTACCATCCAGTGTCTGATAAAGATGAAGTCCTGCCGGCACGAGCTTTGCCACACTGAGAACCATGTCTCCTTCCCAAAACTCTAACAGCTAAAGAAATTACCGAAAGAGAAGAGAAGGATGAGATGTAGCGTACATATCACATTTCCAGGCTACGTGAGAAGAGCGCTGTGCCCATTTACATACATAGATGACAGAGGGAGCAGGTGAGGAACGCTCCCATCCCTACCCACACCAAAAACCAGAAAGAAGACATCACGTGGAGTTTAGTTCATCGGATCCCAAGGTGGCTGATCTCATCCATCACCGACTGGTTCTGACACGCACAAAGGCGAGCACAGCTTCTCTGCTTACTCGGCGGTGTCCTGGGAGAGGAGCGCCGCCTCTGGCTGCACGCCTATTCTAGTTATCGGGAAGGGATGTCTCCCACTGTAAGTTTACCAGCTTATGTAACAGACGACAGGGTTTATTCCTTAAGTTTCAATCTTCCAAAGACACAGTAATTAGTGTGAATCGACAGCCCTCAGAATGGGAAAATATTTTTTGTAAATTTTGCATCAGATAAGGGACTGATAACCAGAATACACAAGGAACTAAAAAAGCTGTTTGGAAAAAAGATGATCAACCCTATTAAAAGATGGAAGAAG